CTTAGACATAACTCTTAGGCATTTAACTGGGCATGCATCTGATTTGTGCAAGTGCTACTGCCACAAACCATGCAGATATTCTCAATATGAAATTTTCCACATTAGCTATTTGTAAACAAAGCCAAATTTTTTTTACAAATGCTCTTTTAAGCACAATGCAGATCACGACTGAAGAGATTTGCCACAGGAAGTAATGAATTATGATGGATGAGTGCACAGAATTATTGCACAAGTGATAGTTCAGTTATTCACTTAAAAAAATATTTGGTAATTCTCACTATTAAAAATTCAGTAATCTCCTGCTTTCCAGGGTCAATGAGAGTCTCCTCACTATCAACGATCATTTAAGTAACATATTGAAACAACTGAGGTTTTGAGTAAATTGTTTCCATTAGAAAGTGGTAAGTAAGATATGGTATTTAGGCAAGGGGTTTCTTTGCACTACTCCCCTTCTATGCAGGAATGTCTCTGACCTTGCAGCAAGGGTCTGAGCAATGAAGGTGTTTGTAGGACAACTCAACAGCATTTTCACAGAATCACAAAATCACAGAATCAGAGAATGGCCAGGGTTGGAAGGGACTTAAGGATCATGAATCTCCAGCCCCCATTGCCACAGGCAAGGCCACCAACCTCCCCATTTAATACTAGACCAGGCTGCCCGGGGCCCATCCAATCTGGCCTTGAACACCTCCAGGGACAGGGCATCCACAACCTCTTTGGACAGCCTGTTCCAGCACCTCACCACTCTCTTTGTAAAGAACTTCCCCCTGACATCCAACCTAAATCTTCCCTCTGTCAACTTAAAACCATTTCCCCTTGTCCTGCTGTTATCTACCCTTTCAAAGAGTTGATTCCCCTCCTGTTTGTAGGCTCCCTTTAGGTACTGGAAGGCTGCAATGAGGTCACCCTGCAGCCTTCTTTTCTACAGGCTGAACAAGCCCAGCTCCCTCAGCCTGTCTTCATAGGGGAGGTGCTCCAGTCCCCTGATCATCTTTATAGCTCTGGACCTTCTCCAACAGCTCTCTGTCTTTCTTTTGAGGGCTGGGGGCTCCAGACCTGGACACAGTACTCCAGATGGGGCCTCATGAGAGCAGAGTAGAGGGGAATAATCACCTCCCTGTCCCTGCTGGCCACCCCTCTCCCCTCTTCTACCATTTGTTTTCTGAGCTGCAAGGGCACACGGCTGGCTCATGTTAAGCTTTTCATCCATCAGGACTCCCAGGTCCTTCTCTGCAGGGCTGCTCTCAAGGACTGCTCCTTCCAGTCTGTATGGATGCTTGGGATTCTTCCGGCCCAAGTGCAAAACCTTGCACTTTGCTGTGTTGAACTTCGTAAGGTTCACCCAGGCCCACCTATCAAGCCTGCTGAGGTCCCTCTGAATGGCATCCTTCCTTCCACCAAGTCTGTTGCACCACTCAGCTTGGTGTCATCACCAAACTTGCTGAGCGTGCACTCGATTCCGTCATCAATGTCATTGATAAAGATGTTAAAGAGCACGAGCCCCAAGACAGACCACCAGAGGATGCCGCTTGTTATTTTCCCAGTTGAGTAAAATGAATTACATCTAGCTAATAGCAATAAACTTTGTATGTATCAGTCATGTCATTCATTATGGATCACTAAAAATAAATACTTCATTTAGAAATCACCATTAATGTGACAGAAAAATAACATTTTTATAAAAGCATATAAGCAACATTTTAAAAAAACAGCAGTCCTTAAGTACACAGTAATACAAATTCTCTACATGAGTTTGCTAAAGTTTAATAAAGTCATTTACTCCTAAAACTCTGACATAGAACTAATGCCAAAATATTCCATATTCTATATGGGAATTCTTAAATTTAGGATTACATTAAGCCTACTGGATCCTATATAGTTGTGTTGTGTTAACCTCATGACAAGCCCACAACAACAACAACAAAATGCCAAATACTAACAATGCAGAAAGAAATTCAAAGCTTCTCACATACTCACATTACAATGCCTATGTTACAACTACCAAAAGATATCCTTGCAAGCTAGGCTGGGTATGTAGCTGGTCTTGGAGAATATATCCTCTCTGCTATTCTCAACAAGTAAAGAGAAAGTATCAGCCATATGCAGTAAGGGTGTTTTGTCTTACTCTTCAGGATGACAGAACACCAAAGGAGAATGGCTCCACTTGGAAAACATTCTTCTCTTTTTCTTTTGGTCCAAGCCTGTGGACTCAAAGATTTCCATCTGCCAGTACTCTTCCTGAGAATAGCATAATGCAAAATACCAGCAGGTAGTACTAACAACTGCTATGAAGATCAGAAACATGCTTCCTGCACGTAATCTCCTGCTCTTCCTTCATGGGACACAGTTTCAGGAAACCAGAGAAGCTAGTCTGTTCTGTTCTGAGATGTCAGATAGCAACCAGACCTCCTCACCTCTTCCAAACAGCAAAGCAAAAGAACTACAAAAATCAACACTGGTTTGTACTAATTTTGGAAATGTTTGTTATCTTATGAGTGAAGCTATCTTTTGGCTTGAAGAACTAAGGAAGAATAAATGAAAAAGTGAAGTTTGGGCAGAGAGAAAGAAAATTTCTTCCCAAATGCAAGCATGGGCATAGAACCCTTGATTAGATATGTAACCATCAGTAAAAGGAAAAAAGAAAAACGCACTTCTTAGTTTCCAGACACTGCTGAAACACTATTTTTATTATTTCCTCTGTTCTTGAAAGCAGAGAGAACTGATATTTTTTATGCTCGTCTATGACCTGGAAGATTGGGGTTCATCTTCTGTGTGTCATTCTGAGCAACTGCACCTTTCTTGGGAACCCCAGAGATGTGCTATCAGGTTCCCACATAAAACAAGAAACAAATAAACCTAGAAGCTTTTTGTTTAATCTCTGTAATCAACAGTATAATCCCATTTTGGTTTAATTATTTCAAAACAGCTAAGCAAAAATGCTTAGGTGCTTTCCAAGTCCCCTTACATTTGACTGAATACCTACAAACTGTCTATGAAAACCCTTTGATAAATGAAGAGATTGCACTCCCTCATGTAAATAATATACTGTAAGGATGGATCCTGTATTACAGCAGTCCTTAGCAAGGAATTTATAAAAGCAGATTAGTTTGAGAGTTTGGCGAAAGGTGAATAATTCTCTTGCTAAGAGCAATTTTAAAAAAACCGCAGAAGTCAAAATGCTTAACCAGTGTCAGCAGGGTATTAGTTGGCATGGTCTGCTGAGGGGACTGTACAATTCTCAGTTTTTGAGAATGATCCATGGATATGTTTTCTTTCATTCTGGAAATATTACCCTTCTGCAGTAGTTTCTTCCATACAGTTTTTAATAATAACACAAGTTCTGCTCATAAAAGACATTCTGCCAAGTTTGGGAACTTCCACAGCTTTCACAGCTTTAGCATGAATGTTTAGTGTCAGGGCAAAAAGTCAGTGCAACCCTTCTAACTAGACGTTAAATACCATCTTCTGTAAAATCCAAAATTAAGCAACTGCATGCTCATGTGAAAGCCGGGGTTTGTTTTTTTTTTGCCTTTGTACATCTCTGTTCCACTAACCTCGATTAAGCCACAACAAATTATGCAAGCTCAAGATTTTATCTGGTTCCTGGCTTTTAAAACAGAGAGCTGAAACATATTCCAAACCATCTTTTAGCAAAACATAATCATAATTTTTGCAGAAGAATAATAAATTATGGAGAACTATCCTAATGGAAGAAAAAAAGTTATCTTAAAATATTAATTAAACATTTTAAGAACATAAATGCATTATGCTGTGCATTAAACTTACATATAATTTAGACTGTGCATTAATTTTTGCTCATTACTGGGTACTTTTGACAGAGGACAGTCCTTGTCCTGCTCCTGTCCTGTCTCAAGCTCCTTTTACTCAGTACCTACTCTGACAGTCCATATAGAAGCTACCTCACTACTACCATCTGCTCCACTACTAGTCCCTGAGGCTGACCTCTTCTTTGCATGCCACTGACAGCTTGTCATGGTTTTATGATGTTTGGTTATCAGTATTTCGCATCATAACATCATGTAGTGTATTGGGAGTTAAAGAGCTAATGCTCCAGGTCTGTGTACCTGTCCTGGAAGAGAAGAACTGCTACATTCCCCAGAGGACTGCTCGCTCTTCTGTTATCATTTCTGCTCAGGGGGAAAAGATAAAAAGGTCACCTGCCGGCCCTTTCAATCGTCTGGCTCGTCTCTTCACAGCATTAGAGTAAGGCCTTCGGCTTTCAGACACTCATTTTATTTGATTTATTAGTTTCAATTCTAATTATATTGTATTTTATTATAGTGTGCTATCTTGCATTCCAATATCTTATTTAGTAAAATTGTTTCTCCTCAGATTGCTGCTGCTGTTTTGTTTTTGGGCCCATCACTCTATTCTTTTCCCCTTTTTTCCCCTTTTTCCCTTCTGGGGCGTGGGTCTGTGGGTCCCTTTGCACTGCTAGTCACAGAACTGGGCCGAACCAGACCATAAGCCATTGACAAAGCTGTTTTTTTGTTTGTTTGTTTGAAGAGTCCCACACTAGGCAATACACCCGAAGTCACTCTCATCCCATCCCATCTGCTACTCACACAATGCTGAGCACATTTCTGTTCCAAGATCAGTTCTGCTAGTTGATCCCTTCAAGCCAAATACCTAATGTAGGCTACCTCATGGTGCCTGTAATTTCAGACTGCATACAGGGCTAAAATGACCAACACTGAACATTATAGGCTTTTGAGATTGGACAGAACATACACGCCACTGTTAATAGACAACTTAGAACATTAAGAACAGAAACTATATTACTGACTGCTATCTCATGTCACTTCTTGCGCCTCAAAGTGCCCCTACCTTAAAAAAAGTCAATACAAACATAATTACAAGAAGGAGGTTATGTGGATGGTCTCCAGTGAATTCCTGTGTTTCCTTCATGCTCAGGTATTTATTCAGCCATTAGGGGTGAAAGATTTGGTGCTGAGCACATAAGGCTAGATAATACTCACTGCAACCGCTTCCAGGATCTGTTTAACAGCATCAGCAGCATCTCGTTCACTGTAATAACCCTTTTCCACAATCCTATAAAAAAAAAGCAGTGAGAAAAATTGTGTTCAAGATTATGCATTAAGATAAATTAACTCTGCAGACAAAAGCTTCTTTGGAAAAATGAGTGAGAAAATAATCAAATTTAAATACTCTGAGGAGCGTGGAGTCCCCTCTAAAGTATAGGAAATAGTCCTTTGGCAATTCAGGTTATCACTGATTTCAGTTAATGAGAAGACAGAGTTAAGGTGTCAACTCAGTAAGGTGATAGGTAACGTAAGGGCTGCTCCAAAAGTAATGCCTCTTATTTTATTATGATGGCCCACCAATATTCTGTTTCACTTTGTTGCCGTGACACAGATGGCAGCAGAGGTGCAGAGTGACCAAATGTGTTTGACAACGAAGTGCATATGAAGCAAAAGTGTGTCAGTGAATTCCTCCATGCAGAAAAAGATGCAAGCATTGACATTCATTGACACTCATTGACATTTGCTGAATTTTTATGGAGTAGATGTGAACACAGAGAAATGGTAGGTGGTACATTTCAATAGTGGTGACAGTGACAAGTGGGTAATCTATGCTGGTGGAGATTTTTATGAGGGCAGCATACAGCTTTTCTTCATTAATGTTGAAAATGCATAGCTCATGGCAGTGACTATGTTGAAAAATAGAATTTGCTCTACCAAATAGTGTTCTTGTACTCTTTGTAACTCTTATTGTTTCCATGAAAATAAATAGCAGCCATTACTTTTGGAGGGATCTATAAACGTACACATTCAATTGAAAAGTTTTGCAGTTTTCTGAAATTGAAGAAATATGAAATGCTTTCATATAGATATAACCAGAAATCCTTTAGGAATGGCTGTTGGTTTTTTTTGTTGTTTGTTTGTTTGTTTTTCATTTATAGTTATGTTTTTGTACCCCATTTACGTAAATGGAGTAAAATGAGGTTTATGGCAAAAAAGCATTATGCCAATGCCAGTACAGATCTGGATTGCTTAGAAGAAATGTGTGGTGTGAAAACATTAATTTCAAATTATCCCTTCATCTCATGGGCTACAACAATCATTCTTCCCCCTTCAGCATGAAATCAGGGGCTCTGTCATTGAAAAAATATAGCTTCATTAAAAGTGAAACAATATATTTTTCTTTTTTTTAATGTAAACAGCCAATATATTTTTTAGTACAAATGACATACAAAACTAGGCTTGTAAATGTTCTTATTGGGCACAGCATTTGATGAGTTCCATTACACTTATGAGCTCTGAAGATCTAGAAAATCCTTTTTTGCCTCTTGGAAAAGGGACGCTTTTATATCAATTAAACTGTGCTTATATCATACCAACACAAAGGTAAAACAATGCAAAGTTTACTGTGTGACCAACCTGACTCAGATAACTGTATGTCAGTATTTGTAGGACAGTGTTTTCATTATTCACACTAAAATACTCAGTGGAAGAAGGGCACAGATCCTAAAGATGAAGCAGTTGTGAATTTATACTTTATAGTAAATGTGGGCCCATATTTTAGGACAGCAACACAAGACAACTGTAGAACTAGTGCTCAATGCACATGGCTCACCAGCTTAGGCTGCAAGTGAGTAGTATGCACTAGCAAGCCAATTATTCCTCGTGAGATGTGCAGCTAATTTCCTCTTTTTTCAGAATTCTAGAAAACAGACTTAATAAGAATAAAAACACAACTATTAATTAATGACAATATAGCAAGTAGAAAGACTAATCTTCTGTAACAGCAGTAAATGAAAAACTATTCATTCACACTTATTCATTCTATGTATTTTTAGGGGCAGCCTGGCTTAAAACTGAAAACCAGCTCCGAGGCAATAAAGATGAGTACCTAAAGAAGATTCCTGCAATTCAGGTCCTATAATAATGCTGGGGGATCATCTACATATCTATGCATATTTCTGCACCCTACTTGCAGTAGTTAACGTTAAAACGTTAAGTAGTTAAAGACAAATGGTAGGTGTGACACTGCTTTATTATCATAACACCTGAAGCCAATGAAGCTTCTTTACAAGGATTTTTCTATTTCAGCTTGCATTTTAGCAATGAATCATTGCCCTTTCTCTCCATAAAGGAAAAGATATCTGCAGGAATGTCTTATTCTGTTAATATGGAAATTAAAGAAAATATTTATGCTTAGCTTATAGAAGGATCTTTAAGAAACACTTGGATGAAGAAAAAGTAAACCTTCACTGAGAGAACAGAAAGACAAGAACATTAATGGTAAGGAGCTAATTAATTCCTGCCTTTGATATGTAAATGGAAAGTCAAGTAGATCAGAGCTTGAGGAAAAAAAGTGGGAGGAAGACAGAAGGCAACTGAGAAGAAAGTATAGGGGAATGCTATTTCAAGGTCTGAGAAAAAAGAGGTTGGAAGAATTATAAATTTGGTGGCACAAACATTCAGAAAATTTAAGATAGCCCTTCAAATTGATGATGACATTATAGAGAAAGCAAAAATATTATACCAATGATAGAAATAATCCATATTTTCACTGTGCAGAATCACATTTATGTATACACATTTAATGAAATACATTGATAATACACAGCCAGACACACCTAACAGATACACATCATGTTGCAGATCTCCTAAAAGGCCACATGCCTGAATGAATCTAAGACAAATCCTTTTTCTGCTGTAAGGAAAAGCACTTCTCAAAGGCCTCTACTCACTGCTTTTCTATGGGGCATCTGGGTATGCTGGTACCCAATTATAAAAACATAGGACTGAACAAAACCAGCTATAGTGGATACTGCCATGCAAACGCAAAGGCAGCCTGCAGAAAGGGTGCAGCCTTTTTCCTGTGATCTATTCCATGTAGCAGACAGCTGAAATTTCACAGCCTCCACCTGATCATCAAGACTATTCACAGAATCACACAATGGCCTGGGCTGGAAGGCACCTCAAAGATCGTAAGCTCCAACACCCCCCCCCACCCCTTCCCCAAAGAGGGCCACCAACATGTTCAACAACTTGCAGTGATGCTCACTAGCTCCCACCTAGTCTTTGTATCCTTTCTGTTCTGTATATTGTGAGGCTTCTGACTATATAGATACTGCAGTCTTGTGGGCACTCTTCAGTGTAGCTGTGAAGATCTCTAGTGCTGCCCTTCTATGAAAGAGAAGGTTCCTCTGCTGCTTATGCCCTTCATTATGCGCATCTTCACTGCAGCTATGGCATAAACTTCCATAGGTGTTTCCCACTAGTTTGCAGCCTGCAGATTAAGTTGGAAAGAACACAAGCTGTATTCTACTCCTGTTGGAATACTCTCTTTACAATCTGCGATTGAGCTTTAATTCATCACATCCTTATGAAGCCACTGAAATCGAGAGGGGATCACAATAAAGGCATGCAGAGAGTGTCCCCACTTACTCTGCTGAAACTTTGTTACTGATGGAAAAGAAATAAGAGTAGGAGCGTAGTCCACCTAAATGTAATACATTTGAGCTGAAAATCAATGAGGAAGGAGCTGAGGAATCCTGATAATATCATTTTAAAATCAATTTGCAGAGCAGCATTAAAATTACATTGATACACAATTGTGCAGTTGACTGTAGCACAGGTATCTGGAGACAAGCACGCTAGGTGACAAGATGAAGTAATCAACTTCCCACAGAGACAAAAAAATGAACATTTTATCATGAAAGGATAGCACGAGGCTGGCTGCTGGCCCTCCAGTGAGGTCCTGGCCAGACATAAGTTGGGGCTGGGTGTCCTTCCTCAGGCAGCACAGACTCAGGGAGATCACCAGCCTTTCACAGCAGCAGCTGCTGAAACTTGTGATTCTCAGCACTAGCAGGTGGGAGAAGCAAATACTGAGGAGGAACCAAACTGAACAAGGATTGGTTTCTGCACCACATGCCGGACCCCAAAACGGAAAGTCTTTTCCTGATTGTTTTTCTTAGGAAGATAAATCCATTGCAAAGTCTATCTCCACAATTTTGAACAGAAGCTGTTTTAGTGACCCTTTGTGACCATCTTAAAGTAGGTAAATCTTACCTACTTTAGCAAACTGACCTTTTCCTCCTCCACTCTCCATACTGACACATTCTCCTATTCTTAGCTTTAACTCCCCACTTCCTTCCTACACAGGCCAAACTTCCCAACCTCCAGCTCAGACTGAAATCTCAGCACAGAAAGTCTTGCTTCCTTCACCTCAGAACGATAAGTGCAGGTAATTTTTATGTAAATCAATCTTAACAGTTATTATAATATTTGCAAATTCTAGCCAATGCCTGATATTGTTATTAGAAATACCATTTCTCCAAGCTGTGGAGCTGCTTCTATAACAGTATTAAGAAATACATAATTTAGCTTTCAAATGCCTATAAATACATTCAGCTGTCCGGAAGAAAAAAAATAATAAATCACTTCTACCTTGTATTTCTTTACCAGCTTCCAACATTATTTCTCTTCATATGTTGATGCTAAGCTTATATTTGCTTTTTTGATCATTCGTTATAAATATCACAATATCAGAAAAAGGTATCACTCTTGTTAGGGCTATTTTCATTCTTTTTCTGGCTGGCTTTTATGTCACACTCCTGTACCATGTTACTGGTGGTCTGCATCCCATTACATCACATGCAGTACTACTGAGATACTTGCTTATACAAATACAAGATCTATTTGAATAGCACTGTGTGCTGATTTTTTCAATATTTGATTTTATATAATGAATGTTCATTTATCTAAAATTCTCTGGTTACCATGGAGATTTTCTCTGTACATATTCACTTAATTCTTACATAAAGATAATTTAAAAATAAAATTAACGTACTTCTACAAAGTAAAGTAAGCCTGAAAATTAGTCAGAAACAGGGAAATAAAATGATATCACTCTATTCAATAGCAAAAAAGTTTTCTACAAAGAACACCTTTCCAATGAGTGATTCATAAAATGGCCCATGCCTCTACTGAGAAGATTTTGATTCCTTATTGTTTTGATGCATTTGTTTAGTTAAAAAGTAAAGCTTCCTCTTTAACTATGGATGTATTTTTCTTAAT